TTGAAGCAATAATATTTACTAATAACTCTCTAAGAAAAAGTGTTATATGTTTCTACATATGCATTTGTGTGTCTTTTAAGAATGTTTACACATATAATAGAGTTAACTGGGCAAAACTCCTTGTCGTTGTTGTTATGTGCCGTCGAGTTGGATCTGACTCATAGCGACCCCTCCTTGGGCTTCCAAGGCAGTATCACTACAGAAGTTGATTGCCCCATCTTCCTTCTGAGGAGTGGCTGGTGGGTTTGAACCGCCAGCCTTCTAGATAGCAGTCAAGTGCCTTAGGCACTACACTACCAGAGCTCCTGGGCAAAACTCCTTAGACATAGCCAAACACCCTGAGGGAATGAATCACTGGGCACACAAGCTCAATACCAGTGTTGCAGGGTGACACCAAACTCAACTGGCATAATATACTACACAAAAACATTGTTCTACATCCTACTTTGGTGAGTAGTGACTGGGGTCTTAAAAGCTTACAAGCATCCATCTAAGAAGCAACATCTGAGATGTCTCTCCTCATCTGGAGCAAAGAAGAACAAAGAAAACCAAAGACACATGGAAACAATTAGCTTAAGGGACTAGTGGTCCATACAAACCCTAGTCTATATGATCATGAGACCTGAGGAACTAGATGATGGCTAGCTACCACTGTCAACCACTTAGAAAAGGATTTAAATAAGAGATCCAGGAAAGAGAAGGAGAAAAATGGAAACCAAGACTCAAAATCATACATAAGAGTAGGCTTACTAGTCTGAATAGAAACTGGTGCTACTCCCAACATTATGGCCCCTAGTTACTCTTCAGGCCTGGAACTAAACTCACTCTTGTGGCTTCCAACCAAAGACAGGCCTGTAAGATGAACATTTACACCAGGCTGGGACATTCCTTAGAATAATCAACCATGGGAAATCAGAACAGCAGTATCTGCCACAGGAAGATAACTCAAAAGTCAGGAATGCACAGGAAAGAAAGACACAGGGAAAAGGTAACCACAGGAAGGAAGTGGGAGGAAAGCTGTTACATTACGGGGATTGCAGTCAATGTCAGGAAACAAAACATGTATCAACTGTTGCATGGAAAATGCATTTGCTCTATAAACTTTCATGCAAATCACAATAAAAAAAAAATATTAATATATATCAATCCACAATAATATTGCCTTTTAAGCCATGGACTAGTTGTATAATATAATGCTAGGCAGATAATGGCCTATAATTGTAGTTGTATAATATAATGCTAGGCAGGTAATGTCCAAGTAAAGTTGACACTGTAAATCCCAGCTCAAAAGCATTTGTTGAAATAAATTTTAACAAGTAGTCTGGTGTTATTTAAAAAGTTTAATAGTTGATCCTCAATCTACTTACTAGAAACTTCTTTATAAGATACTGTGTCTTGATGATGACGAAGATGATGAAGGCTAATTCATAGTAAAACAATGAATAAAGTGCTACAAGTCAGAATACAGCAGTTAAAAACTTTGGCAATTTAAAGATATAATTAGTTAATAAAAGTTGCATGATGTTCAAACAACTTAACATAAATTTAAAAAGCAAAAAATAAATAACCAAAGCGCACAGTGGAGCAAAAATCAGTAAGTTTCAGTAACAGCTCCTTGTTATTAAAAAGCACAAAATACAATAATCATGTAACAGATTTCTAACAGGAATATATAAATAAGGTATAAAATTCTATTGCTATCAAGTCAATTCCAACTCATAGCAACCCATAAGACAGAGTAGAACTGTCCCACAGGGTGTTCAAGGTTGTAATCTTTATTGAAACAGCTTGCCACATCTTTCTCTTACAGAGCTGCTGGTGGTTTCAAACCACTGAGCACTTAACACATCACCAGGGCTCCTCACATAAGGTATAAGAATTATATATGAACCTTTTCACTGCTACATTATATTTAGTTCTCATGTTAACATCTATTTAAAGGAACTTAGGAGATTAAAAGGAAAAGTAAACAAGAGAAAAAAACAATGTGCTTGTTCTTGTGCCTCCCTTACCCCTTCACAGAATGAATGGTGGTGTGGACTGTGTAAGCAATGCCTCTGGAATACAAATGCTTGAATACGCACTATTATTATGATCCATCAGACTTTTCCAGTGTTTTCTGCAGATTATCAACCCAACAAAACATACTTTCAACATGGGAAGGATATAGAAACCACCATCTCCTTTCCCCCACTAAAAGTGAAGGTCAACATGAGTCAGAATCCATGGCAACTGGCTTTGGTTTTGGATGAGGTAAGAACAAAAGATGAAGAGAGTTCAGGAGAGAGATTTGGGAAGGGCAGGGTTACATTATGTGTTAGGAAAAGGTACTGGAGAGGAAGGAGTACTTCTCAGATGAAATAACAAATCATCTGGACTTATTAAACAATGAGTAAAATTCTACCATAGAAAAAGCTTGTAAAGTTAACACGGATATGGTGGTAGACAGAATGCCTAAGGGTAGACTAGGTACCTGAAGATGCCCATGTCCCAATCTCTAACACCTATAAATACCTATGTTACATGGCAAAAAGGACTTTACTCTCTCATTGCCATGGAGTCGAATCCGACTCATAGCAAGCCCTCCTTGGGTTTCTGAGGCAGTATCTCTACGGAAGTAGATTGCTCAGTCTTCCTTCCAAGGAGTGGCTGGTGGGTTTGAACCTTCAGTCTTCTGGTTAGCAGTCAAGTGCCTTAGGCACTACACCACCAGAGCTCCTAGAAAGGATTTTACATATATATAATTAAGTGTATGGATATTAAGGAGATTGTTCCAAATTATCCAAATAGGCCCAATCAATCACATGAATCCTCAAAAACAGAGACTTTTCTCCAGCTGTGATTAGAGATGCAGCAAATCAGAGACTTGACAAACGGAAGTGATTTCACCCACAATAAGGGGACCATAAGAAAAGCATGAAAAGAAATGCAGGCAGCCTCTAGGAGCAAGGCCTGGCTCCAGCTGACAGCCAGGAGAGACGTAGGGAACTCAGTGCTACAATCACAAGGAATTGAATTTGGCCAAGAATCTGAGTAAACTTGGAAGCAGGTATTTCCACAGAGCCTCAAGTAAGAAACAGTGCAGCTGGTATCTTAATTTCAGCCTCTAAGACCCTAAAGCAGCTCTGGTAGAGTAGTAGTTAAGGCATTTGGCTGCTAACCGAAAGGCCAGTGGTTCAAACTCAATAGCCATTCTGCAGAATGAAGGTGAGGCAGTCTGCTTCTGTAAAGATGTACACCCAATGGAGGTTGCTATGAGTTGGAATCAACTTGATGGCAATGAGGTTTGGTTTTCGATGAGACCGTAAGCAGGGTGGACCCAGCTAAGCCCACTAGTACTTCTATCCTACAAAAACTAGAGATGATAAATTTGTGTTGATATAAAATACTAGGTATGTGATAATTAATCCTGGCAGAAAGAAAACTAATGCATATGGCAAGTTCCAAGAAAAAATATATTTCAAAGTAGTCAGAGCAAAGGATGTATGGGTTAAGACAAATGGAAGAGAAGCCAAGGATGAAGCTGGTAGACAAGCAGGATCTAGGCTGTGAAAAATCGTTAAGACTTTATTATGCAAGCCACAGAGAGGTGCTGAAAGTTTTTTTTTCTGTTTATTTTTTAAATAGGAGAGATAACAAATAGTAGAAATGTTGTTACTGGGGAGAATATGGGGAGAGTTATTAGTTAGGAGTTTGTAACTGTAAAAATGGCATTGGAGTAACCTGCCCTCCTCTAACTTCAGGAAGGGGTAGAAAGAGAGTTGAGATTAATAGCAAGATCGATTCCTATGGAGATTAGACATATCTCCTCTCTTCAACACTGTTATCAATTCTGACAACAGCTGTCCCTCTCTGGGTACTCTCTAGCTTTCTGTTGGGTTCAGTAATTCATTCAATGGCCACACAGAACTCACAGACAATTCTCACAATTATGGGGTTTATTAGGGAACTAACAGGTTACAATTCATGATCAGGAATGACTCAGGATACAGTTCTTTGGTTAGGACAGCTGCTTGGCCATGTCCAGAGGTATACCTTTTCATGTCCCCTTGGCCCTGCCTCTGTCCTGCTTGGGCAAGTGTTGCAAAGCTCTATAGTGCCACCAATAAGTATCCACATGCACACCACTCTTCCAGTAAGCCTCAGCTTGAAGGCGCTCAGCTCTCTAGCATCATGAATTGGCAAGCCTAACTCCACCAAGTGACCAGAGGCACCCCATTCCACTAGCAAGTCTCTTGCCCAAAAGTGCTCAGCTTTCTCGCTCAGTGGACCAGGAAGCCTACCATGCCATCTCTGATTCTGTTGCCACTGTTTCTCTGCTATGGATGCTTCTCACCATTGCCAGTGTTTGTTCTCTTGGTCTGTTGGGTCTAGGAGGTTCTTAGCACAGGAACCCTGGGTCCAAAGGCCACACTTTATTCCCATCTCTCGTACTTGATAGTAGTGAGGCCCCCATGGCCACCTCTGGGATGGTTCATTTTAAGCTAGAGTGATGGCAAAACTGACAAATCCCTTCACTAGGGTTCCACACACCTTATTTGCATAGTCTCACCCAATCATTTGGTGGAGTTATAAGATCATGGCAAGAAAGGCCATATTAAATCAATCCATCACAGTAAAATAACATGTAATATAATTATCTATGCAAAAGATGTTGAGAACCTGAACCAAAGCAATGAAAATGATGAGAGAGAGAACCAACAGGCTTTGGAATATTTCAGAAGCAGAAATATAAGTCCTGATTCCCAACTGACATCAAAGATGATAGTATAATCACAAATGAGTCCAAGGATTTTAACTTCGATGATGTGGTAGGTGGTGGTGATGTCAACAATCAAGATAAGAAACAAGAAAAGCATTGTATTTGAGGAGGCTAAACATAGAAAGTAAAGGGGAAAATATGCTCTCCCCTTTTAATTTTAAAATAAATGAAAGGCACAATTAAGAAATTTTAAGCAATGACTACACAAAATTGCATATATTTTATTAGCCTCTATTACCTCTGCTGTTGCTTTCTGGATAGGCAAATGTCGGCTTACTTGGGGAGCGTCGCATATCACTATTAAGGAATGGCTTGTCGGGTGGATATACTACATATGGAGATGAAGAATGGCGAACCATATTTCCATTTGACCTTGATGGTTTAGATAAGATGTTCTGAAAAATAAAAACAGAGAAATCACCTTTCAAAATTTTAAACCACAAACAGCATGTAAATATACACAGTTCATATATTATACTGAGAGGGACAACAGAAAAAAATAGACTCACTCCATTTACTATACATAGTAAAACATAACCATTAATTTTTTTTTAAATAAGACTCTTTTTAAGCGTTTTAAAGAGTTTCATGTATGTCTAAATGTAGCCAAACACTATAAAAAGCAAATAATGCTTACAAAAATGAATATAAATGCTGTACAGAAATACTTTAATACAGTACTTACAATCAATATACTGTATTTTAAAACCATGGATGGTGAAATGTACATTCAGAAAAGTAAATAGTTGTCCTTTTACAAGATCAGAAACTGCTATAAATGAATTAATCTAACCCCAACCAACTAAATACTTCCTGAATATTTATGAAGCATTTATGAAATGTCCAAAATGTTCAAAACTCTAAAGGTTCCAGGAAACAAAGCTCCAGGAACTGAAAGAATACCAACTGAAATGTTTCACCAAAGGGATGCAACACTGGAAGGGCTCACTATTCTATGCCAAGAAACTTGGAAGACAGCTCTTTGCCAGGAAAAGATCCATATTTATGCTCATTCCAAAGAAAGGTGATTCAAGAGGATGCAGACATTAGTGAATAATGTAATTAATATCACACACAAGTAAAGTTTTAATGGAAATAATTAAAAGAGAGTTGCAGCAGTCCATTGATAGGAACTGCCAGTAATTCAAGTTGGATTCAGAAGAGGACAAGGAATAAGAGATATCTTTGCTGATGTCAAATGGATCTTGGCTGAAAGCAGAGAATATCAGAAAAACATTTATCTGTGTTTTATTGATGACACAAAAGAATTAAACTGTGTGGACCATAACAAATTACGGGTAACAGTGCGAAGAACGGGAATTCCAGAATACTTAATTGTAATCCTGCAGAATCTGTATATAAATCAAGAAGCAGTCATTCAAACAGAACAAGAGGATACTGCATGGTTTCAAATCAGGAAAGGTGTGTGCCAGAGTTGTATCCTTTCAATCTGTATGCTAAGCAAATAATCTGATAAAATGGACTACATGAAGATGAACACAGCATCAAGTTTGGAGGAAAACTCATTAACAACCTGTGATATGCAGTAACATAATTCTTTTTGCTAAAAATGAACACTTGTGCACTTACTGATGAAGATCAAAGACTACAGCCTTCAGTATGGGTTACTCCTCAACAAAAAGAAAACAAAACTCCTCACAACTGGACCAATAAGCAATATCATCATAAATGGAGAAAATAGTCATCCAGGATTTCATTTTACTTGGATCCACAATCAATGCTCATAGAAGCAGTAGTCAAACGATGTACTGTACTGGGTCAATGTGATGCCTAAACTTCTTTAAAGTGTCAAAAAGTAAAGATGTTATTTTGAAGACTAAGGTATGTCTGACCCAAGCCATGGTGTTTTCAATTACCTCATGCACATGAAAACTGGACAATGAATGAGGAAGAGCAAAGAAAAATTGATGCATTTGAATCATGATGATGGCAAAGAACACTGACTATATCATGGACTGCTGGAAGAACAAACAAACAAATCTGTCTTGGAGGAGTACAACCAGAATGCTCCTTAGAAGTGAGGATGGAGATACTCTGTCTCATGTACATTGGACATGTTATCAGGAGGGATCAGTCTCTGCAGAAGGACACCATGCTTGGTAAAACAGGTCAGCAAAAAGAGGTAGACCCTCAACAAAATGGATTGACACAGTGGCTGCAATAACAGGCTCAAACATAGCAACGATTGTGAGGATGGTACAGGACCTGGCAGCGTTTTGTTCTCTCGTACACAGTGGCATTATGAGTCAGAACTGACTCGATGGCACCTAACAGCAACCACCACCATTCAGTGGTTAGCAAGTACTCCTAATTTATACAAAGATTTATAAACACAGACCACTCCTAAATTCACTAACAATTTTCAAAACAATTTTATCAGAATAACTTAACATTGTGTTATGCATACTTGGTCAAAATAAACCATCTTTTCAAAATTCACTGATACTTACAAAGTCAACATTTCAAGGATTTGTTCTTTAACAATTTGTCAATTATGTCATCAAAATACTGTTCACTTAACAGATAAATGAGAGAGTATCTTTTTATATTAAAATGAATGTTATAATGAGATTTTGGGTGGGGGAGAAAAATAAATTCGAAATGTGTGGTACAGTGAATTACTTGGCATGGGTTTCCTAGTCATAGTCTTTGCAACTCCCACGAGATTACAGGGTGGGGTCATGTAAATAAGGTGTATTGGACTGATGTTGGGATTGGTTAGCTTTGTCACCACTCTGCCAGGCTTAAAATGAGCCTGCCTAGAGGCAGAAAAGGGAAGCTCACTGCCATCAAGAGAAAAAAGCTGGAGGTAAAGTAGAGTGCATCCTTGGATCCAAGATCCTTACATGGGATGTCCTTGGCAGTGACCTTGGGAGAGAGAGACCCGCCCAAGAGAGAGACAGTGGCAGCGGAACCAAGGTGCCCAAGACAGAGTGGCAGATTTTCCGGCCCATGGAGCAAAAAAGCTGTGTGCCCTTGGGCAGAAGTGTGGCTGGCAGACTGGGGTGCACATAGGTGTACTTATCGACAGAGCTAAGATAGCTTTGTAACACTTACCCAAGCAGGGCAGAGGCCAGGTCTAGAGGGCAAGTACCAGAAAGGCATGTCTGAGGGCCCAGCAGAGGGGAGACTACCCTGAATGAAGAACTGTATCCTGAGCACGTTCTAGAACCTGAACTATAGTCTGTTACTTCCCTAACAAATGCCATAATCAGGAGTATTGTCTGTGAGTTGTGTGTGGCCATTGCAATGAATTATAGAATGCAGTAGAGTAGTAGTAGTGAGTGCTGTGGGAAGGACGGTTGGTAAAAGATTTAATAACAGGATGGAGGGTGGTAGCTATTTGGCCTCATAGGAATAAGCCTTGGGCTGTTAATGGTGATTTTGTTTCCCCTTCATGAGAGATCAGAAGATGTCACCTCCATGCCCTTTTAGCAAAATGTATTACATTGTTTAAGTCATTCACCTCAATTTAAATGTTCGGGTCTAAGCAATGTGAACCATTATTACTGTGAATATGTTGATTTAATGCCCTCATTTGCTGTCAGCAGTTTGATGCAAAGAACAAATACATAAATCAACCTAAATAGGAAGAAAACATAAATTGGCTTTGCAAAAATGATTTTTAAGAACCATTTTGAAATTAAATAAAACTAAGAAATGCCAAACACTAATGAAATAAAACTATAGCGACCTCTCCTTGGGTTTCTGAGGTGTTATCACTACGGAAGTAGATTGCCCAACCTTCCGAGGAGTGGCTGGTGGGTTTGAACCTCCAGCCTTCTGGTTAGCGGTCAAATGCCTTAGGCACTACGCTACAAGAGCTCCCTTTAAAAAAAAAAAAAAAAAAAGGTACCTATTGAAAATAGTAAGGATTACAGTCAGGTCTTTTCAATTGAGAAAACAACCAATGTCATAAGCAGGGATTTGAATAGTGTTATTTTTTTAAAGTTGGCAAGTACTACAGGAAGCTTCTAGTACTCTCTTTTTGTTATATAAAAGAAAAACCAAAACCAAAACCAAACCCACTGTCATCTAGTGGATTCGGACTCATAATGATGCCCATTGATTTCCAAGGCTGTGAATCCTCACAGAAGCAGATTGCTTCATTTTGCCAGCACTGAGTTGCTGGTCGGTTTGAACCACTAGCCCTCTGATTAGAAGCCAAATGCCTCACCCAGTACACCACAGAGCTCCTTCCTTACAAAAGAGGAAAAGGAGACTCAAAAAGTTGTGACTTGCCCAGCTTCTCTCTGAAGAATCAGGGAATCACATTAAGTATTGATTAACTGACAATCAGATCTCAAAAGAGAAGTCATCAACTTTTCTACATCTGTACTCATACATTCTCTTCCTTCCACTAAATAATGGATGAACTTTGTGTAATGGAGGTATCTTCTTTATCTACTCAAAGACTGTTGTTGTTTGCCGTCAAGTTGCCCCGACTCATAGCGACCCCTCCTTGGGTTTCCAAGGCAGTATCACTATGGAAGTAGGATTGCCCAACCTTTCTTCCGAGGAGTGGCTGGTGGGTTTGAACCGCCAGCCTTCTGGTGAGCAAAGTGCCTTAGGCACTATGCTACCAGGGTCCTATAATTAACCTCTTGCCCTCTTGGTGCTATCTATTTCTCCCTCCCAGTAAGATTTTTCTTATCTCTCTTAAGAAGAAGAAAGACAACTTTCCTGGACTTCAGGGCTCCCTCCCCAGCTTTCACAAAATCCCTAAAAAGAATTTCTTTTTATAATTGTTGCCACCTCTTTGTCTCCTTTAATCATCATAAGAATCCTGTGAAATACTTATAACAAATATCATTACCTCATATTATATGGGACTAAGAAAACTAAGAAACTTGCTCAACATCTCATAGCTGGTAATGAAGAAGCCCAAGTCTTCCAATACTCTCTATGATGCCAAGCATTCAATAAGTATTTTTCCAACTAAAATGATAAGACTCTAAGAGAAACTTTCAAGATTGAAGGCAAAATGTTTAATCTGACCTAACTTTCTTGGTGGCTTTAGTTGTTAGGGCAAATGTTTGACCTAGGAACACTTATAATTCAAATATTTATTGAAAACCTGTGTATAACTGTGTTAATCTGCAAAGACTTTTTAAAAATGTGTATTTATTTGCCTGCTTCAAATGGGATCTGGAACATGGCTGGTACATGGCTGGAAGAGTAGGTGGGAACTGCCAAATTGTAAGAGACTAAATACAAATTAAATTCTGATGCATTTAACAGAACAAGCTCTGGTAGTGCAGCAGTTAAAGCATTTGGCTGCTAATCAAAAAGTCAGGAGTTCAAACTCACTAGCCACTTCGGGAAGAAAGATGAAGCAGTCTACTTTCATTTACCTTGCAAACCCTATAGGGCA